AGAGCTGACATTTCCATTGAATTTCACGGAGCCTTGCTTTCCCAAAAATTGTTCTTAGCCAGGATGGACTGCAGTTTCGGCCCCGCATGGGTCTTATCGGCACCCCTAGCGGGGGTCGAACCGTGATAGTTCAGCATGTCGGCTTGACACGTTACCCACTTGGCCACATTGTCACGAGTGCCCTTGGGTCACAAGGCAGATGCGAATTTCAAGGAAGGCCAGGCCTTTTCACATATTCTTTGGTGGGATTGTCGATGGAGTAAACGTATATTTGCTATAACAATCGAATACATTACTTAATTTTCGTATATAAGTAGAGTTTCGAGATTACCAGCAAATCATGTGCATAAGATGTATTAACCCTATTCCGTTTAAGGTGATGAGGGACTGGTCGCAGAATTTTCCCATAATGATTTGAGTAGAGCTGATGAAGCGAAATAGAGGGAATTTTATCATATATCTGATTTACTGGTAGTCTCGAAGCTCTGCTTATCTACGAAAATTATGTAATGTAGTCGATTGTTATAGTAAAAAGACGTTTGTTTCATCGACAATCCCACCAAGGAATGTGATATGGGGAAGGCCTGGCCTTCCTTGAAATTTACATCTTCCCTGTGACCCAAGGGCACTCGTGGCAATGTGGCTGATTAGTTAACGTGTCAAGCTCACATGCTGCACTGTCACGGTTCGACTCCCGCTAGGCTTGTTGGTAGGGTGCAGTTCACCCTGGATTATAATAACTTTTGGGAAAGCAAGACTATGAAATTCAATGTAAACGTCAGCTCTACTCATATCATTGTGAGAAAATTCTACTACCGGTCCTTCATCATCTTAAACAAAATAGGGTTAATACATCTCATGTAAGTTTATCGAGAAGGAAAAGGAAAAGTGTCTAATCAGCATCAATCAAGTCTAGTCAACATTTCAGTGGATCTATAAAATCATATGACTCCTTCATACTTAGGCGATGTCAACAGTTTTCTATTTCACTATCACCAACGTTATCGGAAGCAACCACCTGTAAATACTGTTTATCATATTTTTTTAATAGCTTCAAAAGCTCTAGGTTTGACTCTTCCAGCTTCTGATGAATTCATCCTATAATTCCTCCTTGTCAAGCTGCATGTAAAGACCGAAATTTTTTCACAATTGCCTTTACTGCTGCTGTCGTATGCAGTTTATCAGGTACCTCTGCATCCTATGGCTGAAATGCCTTTCAGTAATTTAGTCCTTGCAGTTACGATGATCTTAAAATATCTTTTCTGAGTCTCGGCGATAATAATTTTTCCATTTATTTCATGATTTGCTATTTAAAATTGTGCTATAATTTTCGTACACATCTTGTCTTTTTATTAGGATCATCTGATTGCTCTCTCGATCCACGCATTGCTTCTACCTCGTGTCCATTTGAAGTTGCTCCATCTCGGACATCCAACTTTCCTGATTCTTATTTTAGTTGCCTGCCAGTCCAGGACAACAATTCTACACAGGTTGCCGGGCTTGACTTTGCGAATTCTAGTCTTCCAGCCTCAGGAATCTCTGCTCAGGCTGACTTTGCATGCCTTTCTGTCCCTAGTTCAAACTCTGAAACCAGCTGTAGTTCTTCTTTGATCCCCTCCCTGCTCCGTTCTCCTTCTCTCGACGACCCTATTCACTGTTCATCTTCATCTCCTACATTACCTTTAGCAAAAGTCATGACTCCAGCCAATTCGGCGATTAATTCAGACGGCTGGCACTCTATGCACGATCACGACCTGGCAATTTCCAATATTGCCCCAACTTCCATTTCCTCCCCGTTGGCCTGGTCTGTTTCCGAGAGGCAACTACAGCCCTGGCTGCAACACTCTGACTCCGCTAGTCTAATGCCTATTTTAAGGGTTTGTGTTGACTGTCAAGCTACTATAACTCCAGTAAATGAACTAATAAACGCTAAGGAACCTACTTCAGCAGTCCTACTGAAATACGCACCTCATTCTGATGGAAAACTGCTGTGTTCTCTTCCTGGCCAGTCGAATTCCACGCCCACCTCACCTCATTCATTATCGCAAGTTTGTTGTACTAGGTTCTTGCAACCTGTTCTCTCACAGCCTGCAAGTTCGATTTAGCCTTGTTATTCCTGAACTAAAGTTACTCGATCGGCTGAGCTGTCCATTCTGCTCGACAATACACAAGAAACTGACCTTTTTAGGATTTCAACATTGAAAATCTTCATCAGAGCGTTGTTCTATAAAGGAACTAGTTAAAGGCAGTCGAGGCTATTCAAATGCCTAGTAATGTCCATATTTTACTTCGTCTGTTAAGTTATTCCACTTACAACGAACTATTCATTTTCTGGTTTTGTTACTTCAGCTTCTGAGGCCAGTGAATTGCACTTAGAGCCTTATTACTGCCTTATCTTCCAAAGAAGAAGCCTTTGAACATAAATTGCTCTGATATTTGCTGAGAATTGCCTTCGTCCACACTCCATCAATCTTGGTATTTAAAAGCGCATTATTCGATTTTTAGCAGCTGATTTTCTTTAAGTTACTATTCTTCCGAGATGCCGAAATAATTTTACTGAATTTTTCTTACATATTCTCTTTAAATAAACTGAAGAAAGAGGTGTTATCCTGTTGAAACGAGCCCTGCTTTTTGCTTTTCTGGAGTTACGTGGCTGTTCATATGCTAATTATATTTGCTACACAAGGTGCTCGCCTGGGCACTGCTTATTTTTGACGTACCTGAACTTAACTCTGCACCTGATTTTCTCTTACGACATTTTAATGGAAATGAATCTTACTGCCCTCTGTTTATCTTCCTTCTGGAGACACTCATGTTTTGTAGAAGTGATCTGATGCACTGTTTTTAGTTATAGATATAGATTGTCACCAGTTTTCGCCTTATTGCTGAATGTAATTGAGCCTCTAGCATTATTTTTTATCTCTACATGTCTTTGTTTATACAAATCCACTATTTTTTTCAAAAGCAGTGTTTGGCTTGCTCCGACTAAATTTGCTTTTCCATATTTATTCTGACTTTTATTAGTTTCTTTATGTTCCTGGTGTCCCCTCTCCTTCCAAATTTAGTCACATTGCAGTTGAAGCCTATTCTTTTCGCCTTAGTGAACTTATATTTTTGTGCCGCTAACTCTTGCTTCCAATTGCACACTTTCACTCTCCCTCATTACTTTCAGAATCGGTTCTATTCCTTTCCTTCTTGACTAAGATAATTCTATTTTTCCATGCTTATTCTCTTATTTTTGCGCCTAGGACGCCGGTTAACAAACCAGCTTCAAACAAGCAGTTTTCGCTAACATTTATTTGTTACTTACAAATTTTATATTTATTAATGTTAGAACCACCTTCATGTGTCTTCGGCGTTTGTCCTTCTTGTGTCTTCTACTTCGGCGTCTTCCTTCTCGAGTCCTTCATATTTCCACATTTATTTTAACCAGATTGGTGCTTCCATATCTAAGTAGAACATAGTATTTACCGATTATCTCGGCTTATATCTTTCCAATTTTTTCTGTGTTTATGATGCCTATGGCACTTAGCAAGTCTCTGATCTTGGTTTACCTACCCGATATAACTTTTGCACTGATTTGTTTTTTTCTCTGGCTGTGCGATTTGTTTTACCAGTGTGATCCACAATTTTACTCTATTTAAATGTACTCCATTCCACGTCCTTTTTTCACTTTGCCTGCATTTAAATATATGTCTGGCTTCTAAGTTGTTAATTATCTATACTACAATGTTACCTTTATCTCGTGCGATTATCCTTATCTTTATAAAAATACGTTTTGCAGTGATCGTCCATTGGGGCTGACAACAGTCCATTACACGTCCTTGCGTAGTTTTTATGCTATACATTTTGTTTTACTTGGC